TCTGTAGCCGATTTTTGAATAACTGAGGAAATATAAGCATTATAATTAGTAAATTACAATATTTCTATTGAATTGTTATCATGTTAAATACAAATTCAGTCACATTAAAAAGGCTGTTTTTAGCCTTACGCTGGAGTTTGTTCACTTTCCGGCAATGAAACTAAGTAAATGAATAATTAAATAAATTAGCACGATAATATCATGTATTGGCGATCTCACAGGCTGACGATAGGACGATATGAAAATTGAGCGTATTGCCCAACACTAGTGTGCCATCTGTAATGGAATCTGGTTTCTCTTGAAACAAGTAATATGTAATATTTTGCATCTGTACCTTTCTTTGTGTCCAATTGTTATATTCTGATCAGCTTCTGCTTTTCCTGTAAACCATAAGCGTGGTTTTTGTTTATAATGTGGATCTATATTTTGCTCTAATCTAATCGTGGTCAGTATGTTGTCTCCTGTCTAGATCGCGTCTCGCTGAAGCTCCAGGAAATGCATCTCATTAATGCATCCTGTTTGCAGTTAATAAGTCAGACAGACAGACAGACAGACAGACAGGTGAGGAGAAAGTTACAGACACCCAGAAATGATTAAACCAGGCCAAAGCGAAAGATCAGTTTGCATTATCCAGTGGGAGTGAAAGTGAGCTAGAAAAAGAGACTGACAGAGGGTGTAAGGTCAGATATGACTCACCGCGGTCAAATGAATGGTAAAAATGCGAATCCAGCCCTGTGGCTTTGTAGTCAGACTCATTTAAAGGTCGTCTTACCATTATATTAGAAGCGGTATCAACATTGTTTGGTGCCATCTTAACCTTTATAAGCACAATGATGGTTCTCAAAGGTGGTTTTAGGTTGTTGAGATGTTGATTTAGGGTGGTATATGCTTTGAAATACTGAAAATGATCTGGAGTGTTTAGATTCTGTGTATTAATTTTCTGTGCTTTTGTAATATTTTTTAAAAATATATATTAATTTGTTTGTTGTATTATTTGTCATGTTAAAGTGCATTTTTGTTTTTAATTTTTGTTCAGACTTTATCTAAATGTACCTATAGCCAATATTTTTATTTTTGTTGTTGTATTCTTCACATTCAATGCTAAAGTATGTTTTTTTAAATTATTAAATGCGAATCCAGCCCTGTGGCTTTGTAGTCAGACTCATTTAAAGGTCGTCTTACCATTATATTAGAAGCGGTATCAACATTGTTTGGTGCCATCTTAACCTTTATAAGCACAATGATGGTTCTCAAAGGTGGTTTTAGGTTGTTGAGATGTTGATTTAGGGTGGTATATGCTTTGAAATACTGAAAATGATCTGGAGTGTTTAGATTCTGTGTATTAATTTTCTGTGCTTTTGTAATATTTTTAAAAAATATATATTAATTTGTTTGTTGTATTTGTCATGTTAAAGTGCATTTTTGTTTTTAATTTTTGTTCAGACTTTATCTAAATGTACCTATAGCCAATATTTTTATTTTTGTTGTTGTATTCTTCACATTCAATGCTAAAGTATGTTTTTTTTAATTATTAAAAAAAATTGTTCTAAATTATTTTTAAGGGTACCGATAACTGATATGCAGAACCGATATTTAAAATAATGCATTCTTTCTGCTTTTTGATACAATACTAAATTCATGAACATTAGATTAAAAAGATGAAAACATTCATATTGAATATTTTATTAATAATAATTATTACTTTTATTACTGTTGTTGTTGTTTGTGGAATTAAATTTTTGTATTTGCATTTTAAGGGCATTTATAATTTTTAAGCTATTTTTTATTTGTAACAAATGGCTTTTAATAAAAAAATGCATTATCCAAACAGTTTCTAAATTAAGTTACTTTACCTGCGAATATTGTTGTTAGGTGCTTTTTAAAGAAGTGAATAATAGTAAAGGGAATATTGGTCAAACTGATTATCGGTTTTATCGGTTATTGTATGTTGAGCTGTCTTCCTTCAAAGCAGTGAGACAATGCTTGTTTTCCATGTCATGATCCCATTATTGTCCGTAAGATTTTGTTATTCCCACAAAATTTGTTACCTAGCTGACTTGCAGCGTGAGGGATTTAAATAGCATAAAAATTAGTCAAACAGCTTTAAAATAATTAGTGCTATTTTAACTTAGAATGAATGGCTTTATATATATGTATATGTATATGTATATGTATATGTATATGTATATGTATATGTATATGTATATGTATATGTATATGTATATGTGTATATATATATATATATATATGTGTATGTGTATGTGTGTATATAATATAATATATATATATTAGGGGTGTAACGGTACACAAATATGACAGTTCGGTACGTACCTCGGTTTTAATGGCACGGTTCGGTATGATTTCGGTACAGCAGGGGGGAAAACTAAACTTTTGAAAAACATTTTTTTATGGTTTACTGAACAAGTTGCTCTTTCTTTAAATACTGTCAGTTATAGTTAAAATTTTCTTAGTGATAAAAATCTTATCAGCTTATGCTTAAAACTATAGGGAGACCTTTTACATTATAAGGTTACAATTAGGAATAACAACTTAACCCAAACTTAAATTTAATTGCTATTTATTTTTAAATAGATGATCAACATTCAACTTAAAAAAATAAAAAAATTGTATGCAAACATGTAAATTGCACATAATGCAGTTTTTAAATTAACTTATAAATAATACAATTTCTAAGTTATTTGTTAAAATGTATTCAATTACACAATGGCTGTCATAGCATGTTTCATAACAGATTAATTTAAACATACTGTATATTAAGTAATTAAGACTAACAGGTTTAGTCAAATATAATGAGTATATGGTGTAATATTTCGCTAAATGCTCCTCTCTAGACTTAATTTCTCTTGTGAACTAACGAGCTGTGTTTTATTTCCACGCTGTATTGTTGATGTCTTTCCGCGGTTGAAACACTGATTGAGCAATTACATGAGGCATGAGATGTTCAGTCATGTTTATTCGCGTTAAAACTAGTAGTACAGAGGAAGGAATGATCGAGTTCACTCGCGCTCCGCTCTGCACAAATCTGCGGGGCGTCACAGCTCAGACACAGGAACCGGAGCTGATCGCGGTCGCTCTAGTCAGTGCTTGTGTTGGGATTATACCAGCACGTTTCTGAACCGTCCCAGAAGTGGCTCTCTAAGGCGTTTATATATATATATATATATATATATATATATATATATATATATATATATATATATATATATATCTCAAAACAATTTATGAATTAAGTTACTTCACCTGTGAGTGTGAATATTGTTGTTGAGTTGCTTTTTAATAGAACTGAATATCGGTAATAAAATTAAACCGGTCAAACCGATTATCAGCTTTATCAGTTATTGTATTTTGGACTGTTATTCTTCAAACAATGAGAAAATGATTGAAAAACTTGTTTTACACAGTTGTCTTGCAGCTTGTGGGACTGACAAATAGGCCTAGATTTAAAAAATGTATGTACTTTAAAAAAACGTTAATATCACATGAATGCGACCCATCCCAAAGGCTTTACTGCTCTCTGAGGGATTTAGTGATCATGACGTCCTCATTATTGTGCTACGGCACTCGCTGACATAGAAATATGGATTATGCTCTCTTGTCTCCATCTTTCAGAGAAAATCTGACTGGATTTGGACTATTTTTTGAGCCAGAAAGAAAAGCGATAGAATGAGTTTGAGACATTCAAGTTTAACTTCCATAATGTGACACATTTCTGCATGAAAAAGAATATTTAGCAAGAAATAATGGGATGGGATCGTTTGGGATTTGATTGGATGGGAAAATTGGGCCAGTCTTCACTAGTCATGCATCATGAGAAGTACATTTCTATTCTGTTCTTCATCCTTTTTTGAGATGCGAGTGAGAAACATGTCTTAAAGTATGTAACTGGAAATTAGTTTAACAACGTGTTTGTTCTTGGTTCAAGTAGTCGACATGAATTGTATGTGAAAGGAATCTAGTTAATGATAGTAATCATGGCTCATTTCTGGCTGACCACAGTTAAAGAATGATGCTTATTTGTCCTTCTCTATTGTTATGGTTTACTATATGTGGTTGGTTTGTTTATTTAGATTGTTTAAAACTATGAATCACTAATTCAAGAATCGATCTCTACTAACTGAATTTCGAAATTCTGATTCATAATTTCATTAGAATCATTCTAAACCCCACTTGTCTTCTCTTTCTCATCTTTTATAGTGTGTTATCAGGATGAAACGTTTGGTTGAGTTATTGAGCATATGGATGGTTCTTTATTCGTCTGTTCTGCAGGAAGCTTGTCTTTCAGATGGAGTCACATTAAAGCCTGTTTGAAGTACTAGAGGTTTGTTGGCCTCATTTGGTTGAGTGTGTGTGGATTGGACATCTAAATGGACGCCATGGCTATTTACTTCATCATAATGATTTATTCTATTCTATTCTATTCTGTTCTGTTCTGTTCTGTTCGTACAAAAGAAAAGACGGATAAGTGCGTAATACACCTTAAAAGTGTATTAATAAATATTGAGATTGATATTGGTTCTTATTTACTTATAATTACGTTCATGTTGTGTATTTTTGTGTGTGGGAAATATTCTTGCATGAAATGACATTTTGAAAATAGACATTTATATATTTACTATAATATTATTTTATGTTTGTGTGAACTTTCAATTAGATTCAAAACATTTTGAATATATATATATATATATATATATATATATATATATAATTGTATATGTTTTATATTGTATATATAACGTGTATAAAATAAAGACATTTATATAATGCATATATATAATTTTTTACTTTACTGTAATATAAACTATACAATTTATTTTGTGTAGTCTAAATTATATAAAAAAATGTAAAAGGTGCAATTATTGTTTTTAATAATTGTATTTATTTAATATAAATACTAAAAACTAATTATGTAAATATATACATTTCTCTGTAATATTGTAATCTTCTAGCTAATCATATGTATATCATATTCTGTTGTGCAGATCTAAAGAAGACTCTAGCTGTTCTTCTGGATAATATAATGCAGAGATTATCAAAGCTAGAGTCTAAAGTGGACAATATCATGTACAACGGGACCAGTACCAACCTGACCAATGGAACCGGGACCCCTGGACCGAACCCGGTCAACCCAGAAAAAGTCAATGTGGCAGGTACAGATGTTCTTTCTCGTATTTAAGTATTTTCTGATAATCTTCCTAATGAGCCATTCTGTTTCTCCTTGACCGTCACCCATTTCCAAAGTCCACGACCCTCTGCAGACCTCAGAGTAAACACAGCACTCTTTACACATCACATGCATCACACACACACACACACATGGTTTTCTTTCTCAGTTCCTCTATTCTTTATTGGATCCCATTGATTTTCTTTCATCTCCAAGATTAAGGACCGTGGGAGAAAACAAATAGTATTTGTTCGAAAAAAGGGCTTGATAATAGGGTTGGGCCGATAGACGTCCATCGCCGATGGCTGATATACATCACGATGTTTAGCCGGCATCGCGATCCCCATCCCCCAACAGCCCCCCCCCCTCCCTGCACAATCCGCCGCATTCCAATACCGTGTTCGGAAAGAAAATGACATGTAATACGGAACCCCTAAAGGGAATAAATACCTTATGGGAGGAAAATATATATTTCAGTATTTTCTCTCGCAGTTATATTATTGGGCAATTATACTGTATATAAATTGCGGGCATCAGGGAGCCGCGATTATGCCTGGCATTGAAACTGCTTTTAAATGTGCGATCGCTTTTTAGTTTCACTTTTACTTTCGAGATTTGTGATCGCACGCACTCTATTTATACAATGGAGCGGCAGTACTTACCACACTTTTGACAAGATTGATGTTTGCCAGTGGTGCTCAGGATCTGCAAATCATTCGCCATGGTCTTCAGTCATCTCCCCTTACTCTGTTTATGTGGTAAGTGAAATTATGTACTGCAATGTAACAGTCAACCGTTAGCAATCGTTATTTGTTTTCCATTTGTTTTTCCGTGTGTTTCTAAATACGGATTCACACTTCTTTTTTTTGGTTGACAGTTACACTGGTTGATTTTTTTATTACGTTGTATTTATTCATCTGCTAATATAGTGTTGTTTCAGGTTGTAGCGATGAATCCGAGAGTTCATGTAGCTTGAATTTGCCACTAAAGCAAAGTTTGACTTGGCAGCATTGAAGTTTGATGCTAAACTCTATGCGTGTGCGTGTGTTGTAGGCACAATGCCATCTTGTTGGCAGTTCGGATGACTGAATTTTAATTTAATATGATGGTTGGACATCTGCCATGGTAAAACTATAGTGTTCTCTATCATTCAGTATATCAAAGTATCAAAGTACCATGATATTACCATCAAATTCTGTCACTGTTACATGGTAACATCACAGTCATTTTTATGGTTATCAGTATCATTTTGGGTGGAAATACCATGTTTTTGAACAAAATTATCCATGGTGTTACTGTAGTTAAACTATTTTGACAGATTGGTCATTGTGGTAGTTTAAATTTCACTATATTGTATAATTCCACACTATAAATACCGTAGTAAACTGTGGTTACTGGTGTAGCCAAATAATACCATGTTTTTAGGACATTTACCACAGTAATACTATAATTTTCGGCACAATGTACAATTATAATCCAGTGGTTTTGGACATTTACTACAGTAATATCGTGGTTTTTGGATAGATACAGTGGTAATGCTATTCTTTTGTACATTGTCTTTTTGATCCCACTTTATGTTAAGTGGCCCTAATACCTGTGTACTTACATAGTAACTAGATTTGTACATAGTAACCACAGTGTAAGTACACATTGGTACATAGTATCTACAGCTGTAATGTTTGTGTAACTATGTAACAACCCACTGAATGGTATGTGTAAATACAAATGTGTAACAGGACTAACAGCACTTTTTGGTAAAGAAAGTGTTACATTTTATATTAAGTAAACAATTCTTATGGATTTACCATGTAATTACTCTGATGTTACACAGCAGCGGCCAGTAAGTTAGGCTTTACATATAAATTGTGGTTGGTGTCCAGAATGTTACACTTTATATTAAGTGGACAGTTCCTGAGGAGTTACCATGTAAGTACACTGGTATTACAGTGGTGCACCAACTCCACCAAATTGAGATCCAACTCCTCCCACTTTACATATCCCTAAACCTACCCATCTCCACCCCCCCTGGATCAAATTGTTCCAATTACTCTTATACATATTGTTGTTACAAAATGTAGTTATATATGTCCTGTTACACATTTGTACTTACACAAACCATTCAGAGGGTTGTTACATGTGTGTAGTTACATAAATATTACAGCTCTAGATACTATTACCAATGTGTACTTACACTATGGTTACATACTACGTACACATCTAGTTACGATGCAAGTACACAGGTATTAGGGCCACTTAATATAAAGTGGGACCCTAAACCATGTTATACAATGTTTTTGGAAATGTTACCAGAGTAACACCATGGATTTTGGATATATGCAATGGTACTGTGTTTTTAGACATTTACCACAGTAATACCATGTTTTGTTGTACATGTACAGTTATACAAACCCTTTTTTGGCTGTTTACCACAGCAATACCATATTTTTTTTGTACATGTACAATTATAATAACACTGTTTTGGACATTTATCGCAGTAATACCATGTGCAGTTATAATACCATAAATAGCATTAGATATTTACCACAGTAATGCAATGTATTCTTGTACAACCATAATTTTTTGGAAATGTACTGTACTGGAAATGAATTATTATGTTTCTATGTATATCTATAATATCATAAAACATATGGTAATCATTCAGTTCCATGCTTATATTAAAATACCATGGTATTACCATCTGATGCCATCACTGTAACATGGTTCGTCCACACTGCTTTGCTGTGAAGGTTGTATGTATGTGATTTCTCTGTGGCTTGACTTGATGTGTGTCCGGATGTGATCATCGTCTCTGACTCACTGTGCTTAATATAGGCCAAACCCCTGTTGAGTCATTTGGGGCTTGACAGCGGCTGGATACCGCTAACCCTATCTCCCTCCAACTGCTTTTTTGACAGACCCGCTGTGATGACAGTTCTGGTGACGGCCCTTTGTTTATAACGCAAACTGAGCCAAATTACTTTATAAGATACATTAAGTTGCAAAGTTAGGTTAAAACTACAGTATGTGATGGATATGGTGTGTTATGGCATTTGATTATGTAACACTCACCGTCCTGTCAATGCTAACTAGATTTGCGAAGATTGTGCAGAGCGTAAATAATTTAGCTCTTTTTTGAGTGGGCCATCGGTTTACTATCGGGGGTTTGTTGTGTCAATCTGTGCCGAATCCAGTGTAGACAGAATCGCAGATTATAATGGGTTCTGTTTTCTATAGTCACGTTGCACCGCTCACGTCCTGTGTAAACACTGGGGGAAATGAGCAAATTTTACGGATTCATTTTTAAACAAGACAGTTTGATGCAGGCTTTTCAGTGAGACTGAAAGTAAAAGATGATGCAGTGCTGAGTCTGACTAGAGTGGCTCTATATATTAATCTTGCAACACCGTAGGGGTGGGAATCACCAGAGGCCTCACAATACGATATTATCACGGTAATTGTGTCACAATACAATATTATTGCGATTTTAAATATATTGCGATATATTGCAATTTATTACCTTTTTCCAACTTCAAATTATGTCCCCAAAGGAAAACTTTGACGACATCTGTTTTAACTAAAAATAAATATTTCTCAGTTTGTTTATCTCACTTCAGTTTTATTATTGCAGTGAAAAAGGGGATTGTGAAGCAGACAAACTGACCAACACTTTCATGAAAACCTGTCATAAATGGCAAACTCAACTATTTGTATTACAGTCTAATCTAGTCCACCTTAATTAAATGTAAACAGGTATGCACTGCTGTGCTACTACAGGTATTTTGAACAGTGCAACTTGAAATTGTACTAAAAAGTTAAATTTTTAAAGTTCAAAGACCTTTCAGCAACTGGGGCATTTGAAAGTAAATTACTGCTAAATTTAAATTAAATGAAATAAAACATTTATTCTTACATCTAGGGATGCACCGAAATGAAATTTCTGGGCCGAAACGGAAACCGAACATTCTGGATGCACTTGGCCGAAAACAAAGTAATTTTGTAAGACTTTTTAAATTTAACTCAATTTTAATGATACTGAATTAAAAAAAAACACAAGCCAATAAATAACTACACTTTTACTAAAAGTAACACAATAAAACTGGACAGAATTTATATTAATATTGGTAACACTTTACAATAAGATTCATTAGTTAACTACTTTAGTTAATGATTTAAGAATGAACAATAGTTCTTCAGCATTTATTAATCTTAGTTAATGTTAATTTCAACATTTACTAATGCATTATTAAAATCAACAGTTGTGCTTGTTAACAGTTAATGCACTCTGAATTAACATGAACTAACAATGAATAACTGTATTCTCATTAACTAACATTAAGAAAGATTAATAAATACTGTAATAAATGTATTGTTCATTGTTCGTTCATGATAGTTGATAAATTAACTAACATTAACTAATGGAAACTTATTGAAAAGTGTTACCTTAATATTAAATATCAATATATTATTTTTATTAATTTCTATGTAACAGAATCAGATATAAGTTTTTTTTTTTGACTAATTATCCAAATAATGTAAAGTCCTAAAAAGCTATTATTATAAGAGCATATGAGCAGAGCATAGCAGAGCATAGCGTCACTGAAGGTAGCATTATTTGACCAGCGTTGCCCAGTACAGCTGAACTAGCCTACACCATGTTACAGCACAGTAGCGCTACTGCAAACCGGAACAAGTAGGCCTATACTGTATAGAAATTTCCTGTCAGCGCGTTATTTGAGTGGACTTTGCTTTTCCGATGAGCATGAGCGGTACACGAGCGGAATGCACATTCATAGATCGGAATATTGAGCGGCGCGTCAAACCGCGCAGTGACGAGGAGAGTGAAACATGCGCGCTGAACACTGCCGGGCTATGCGCCATATATATTATTATTATTATTATATGTAGCCTATATTTTTGGTGCATCCCTACTTACATCCCCTTCTTGTTTACAAATCCGAACTCGACAAATCGAAGTCCATACATCCA